TTTGAAAAAGTGGTATTTTTGCAAAGATTTTGAAAATGTGACATTTTTGAAAAGTGGCACTTGGAAAGTGACATTTTTTTAAATTTCTCTTAAATAATCATTTTTAGTGCAATAAAACTAAAAAAACTAGTGTAACTATATTAATTAGTGTCTCTTCGATTAATATATAGAGGATATGCATTACAAACATCATTTAAATTCCCAAAACTAAAGTAATCTATTTGTTAAAAATCTACTAAAAGATAGTAAAACCATGTAAAATGTGATATATCAACTTACTTCTAGAATTAAAAAGGTAAAAAAAACTAACGTTTATATTTACATTGAAATCATAGTTGCATCTTTTAGCACATAATCATAAGAAATTTCTATTGGATATCCACACAGTATCTCAACTTTGCAATTCCTTAAGAAGAATCAAAATTCGGCTAACTTTTGAGTAAAAATCTCAACATTAAAAACGTGATTCTTTCATTCAAACATAAAAAACTATCTCACAAACTAGCAGTGACCGATTAAAATTCAAAATATTTAGTTTGATCTCATGAGAACCCATACATGTTCTCAACAACATCCAATTAGGACTCAAAAAGACTTATCAAACTTTTGACTTTTGGTCAAAATCCCTAAAAGTGCGATTTCAAACGCGACAAGGTGACGTCTCTACTCGCGGCTCGCCGGTGGCTACTCCGACGTCGGCTTCTGGTCGACATCTTTCCTGGTTCGCCTCCACCCATGGGGCTGAACAAGCAAAGCAACATTTCACCCTCCAAGTCCAAGTCAAAATCGAAGAAACAACATAAGAAGGGTCTCTTCTCGCCGCCTGCGAAGGATGGGTTGAGCGGAGCTTCGTTGGCTGTTTCTTCTCCTCCGCCTCCCGAAACAGTGACACGAACTACTGAAGCTTCTTCAAAGGGGGCCCCAGGTTCTGGTCCTGCTATCGATGGCACTGTGGCACCTGAGGTCGCTATAAGGGTGACTCAGGAGCAAAGTATGAATTTTCCGGTGGCTGAAGAAGTCACAAGTCGGTCAGGTTCTGGATTTCAAAAACCCCAAAATTTGATTCCAAAGCAGACACAGAAACTTCCAACTGAAACACCGAAATTGGTCGCTGCCTCTAACAAGGCTCCGACACAGGAAGCTCAAACATCCCCAAATGTGGCTGTGACGAAACCCTCTCTCATATCCTCCTCGCAAGCTCCTCTTACATGGTGCCAGCGCTTCAAAACTGGTTCATCTACTCTCTCGAAGTGTGGTACTCCTATCAAGCTTGATAACGGTGAGCTTTGCGTAACAATACCCAACAAGGTGATCGAAGAAAGTAAACCACTTTGGAAGGACTTTGTGATTGGACAGTTTTACCGCAAAACTCCATCTTTTGGGAAAATAAAAGCAGTGGTAAATCTC